GAGCCCTGACAGCACATGCTCTGTGGTCGGTCACTTAAACAGCTCAGGCTTCGCATCGGTTCGTTTTGCTGTTTGTGGTTTTGTTGAAGTTGATTTGATTATGCTTTGGGTTTATTGCATATTTTCAGTTCACATGATCCCGGGGACTGATTGCTCAGCCCACAATAATATATATATATATATATATATATATATATATATATATATATATATATATATATATATATATATATATATATATATATGTGTGTGTGTGTGTTCGACTGAGTGTAGGCAGCTTAATTACCCTTTTGCTTACCATTGCGGCTATGCTATGAATATGAATTAATAATGCAATCGGAACGTCAGCTGTAACCACGTGCATAATTAATAAATGGAAAGAGTGAGAGAGAGAGAGAGAGAGAGAGAGAGGGCGAGAGAGGGCGAGAGGGCGAGGAAGAGGGAGGGGGGAGAGGGAGAACAGTGCCAGCCATATACTTACTTAGCTGACTGTTTTCTCTATTCTCGTGTCTGCATCGGAGTCTGTTTATCTAGGCAGCCCAACTATTTATAATGAAAAGGCTGCCAAATAAAAATGAAAATAGCTTGGTGTCTAATTTGTTTTTTGCTTTTTGCTTTTTGTTTGTATCTATAAATTGGCTCAGCTGCCTCGGTCGCAGTCGCAGTCGACGCCGCAGTCGCCGTCGACGTAGCCAGCAGCATTGAGCTAACAAGCAAATTAACGAATCGCATAAAATGTGTAGTTCGCAGTGCGAAACAATGCCACGTACATGAATTTCTCTAGATGAACAAATTCAAATTTCAACAATTTTACACAGTACAGCATTTGCCGCACCGCTTGCAAAGCACCTAATTCCAACCGCCGCCCCCTATCGCCGCCCTCTTTGCAGCAGCAGCAGCAGCAGCAGCAGCAGCCGCAGCAGCAGCAGCGATCAGCGCTGAAGTAAAACAAATAAACAATTATTGGCTGCGTTCAATTCCTCAGTATTTCGTTTATGCGTTCCATTTATTGCCGACGACGCCAACGTCGACGTTCTGACCACCAGCAGCAGCACCGGCATGACCAAGACCGTATCCGCGTCTGCGTTCACGTTCGAGTCAGCTTAGGTACGTCGATTGCGGCCCATTAAATGCGCCTCTTACGTACGCAATTCCGAATTTATTCTTTGCGCGTTCGAATTTTGACGGCGCTACGGCAGAAGCGTTAGGTATATACATTTGCATTATATATACATATGTAAGTAGCAAACAGCTTGATTGAGTATATCCAATTCGTAAAGGTATATATATATGTGATATAACTTTAGTACTTACTATTTTAGTATTTTAATTTATATTTAGTACTTTACAAATATTGATTAGTCATTTATTTACATACATTCAAAATGTTTTTAAAAAAAAAAAAAAAAACAAACATAATATTTGAAGTTCAAGAATATATAAAAAATAAAAATTGCATTTAATTTTTACTTTATTTTCAAAATATATTCATGTATATATATGTTGTATATATAATAATATAGTATTACTTATAGTAAATTGTGTTAAATTATTAAAATCTTCAAATTTTCCAGGAGATAGTGGAAAGTGAATTTTTCGATTTGCCACGCCATTAGTGAGCGGATCGGGGAAATTTACACAAGTATATGTGGAATATCTATTCCAAATTTCAAGTCTCTAGTCAATACTTTGCATAGCAAGCACAAGTCAGCATTGCATAAAACCAATATACTCATTTCATTATTGTGAATGAGCATTAAAAATAGAATATAATTTCATACAATGAATAAATAATTAATTAAAAATAGTTAACCAACTATGAATAATGCTCTTACATATTATTATTTTTGCTAGAGTAATTTAATTAAAAAAAAAAATAATAATAATAATAAATAAATAAATAAAAAAAAAATAAAATAAAAATAAATAAAATAGAAATAAAATGAAGAAAATCAAATTTTTGCATAATAAAGTTATTTGGTATATAAATAAACAATTAAAGCATGGCAGAAATATATGCATTAAATAAAAAACAATATGTGCAATAAATAAAAATAAATAAAAAAAATCAAAAATGCACATTCAACATTATTTATTTATTTATTAATTGTTACAAAGAATTAATTGGAAATAACAAGTTTCAAGGCCTTCAGGCAGACATTAAACATCCATATATTCATGCAAAATGCAAACGAAATGTTAAATGCACAGCGCCACCTGTTGTTCTGTAGCGGCTACGCAGCTCGTGAGGCCGGCCGCTGAGCTGGCATTATGGCAAACAAATTTTCGCTTTATCGTATCTGCTGTTCTGCTTATTGTTTATTGCTGTTGTTGTTATTGTTGTTGTTGTTGTTGGTTTTTGTTTTGTTTTGAATGCGCCCGACAATGGGCGTCTCATAAGGTTTTAATTATTTACTTTATTTAGGTCCGCGCGCCTTGGATCGAAACTAAAAATTTAGCCAAACACTGTGATCATTGGGCTCATTGCTGCTGCTCGATTGCAATTAGTCAACGGCAACGGCAACGGGAACGGCAACGACGCCGACAGCGACGGCAACAGCGACAGCATCTGCTGTCGGCACCTGCACACAAAAATGCCAAGTAAATTTCTCAATTCTCAATGCTCGATTCTCGAATCGACCAAATTTCTTATTGTAGTTCCGCCTACGTCGACGCTGCGGCTGTCGCTGTGGCTGTGCTTCCGCCGCTGCCGCTGCCGCTGCTGCTGCTGCTGCTGCCGCTGCTGCTGCTGCTGCTGCTGCTGCTGCTGGCAGTGGCATACTGGGCGTATTGCTGCCACTCGGCTGCCGTTAGCCATTCGCACAAGTTGCATGTTGAGGCGCGTTAAGTTTTTCTTTTTGTTTCTGCGGCTGCCTTCGCATTGTTATTTTATTTTCGGTTCGCGTGCGTTGTGCATATTTTAAAGTAGGTTTTTCTCTCACTCTCTCTCCCCCCCTCTGTTCATTATATTTGTACTTGTTTAATTGTACTTTTGGCCTGGTGTTTTGTTTTATTTTATTTAACTTAATTTTTTTTTTTTTTGTGGTGCCGTGCTAAAATCTTAAACTGCGTTCAGTGCGCGCGCCAACTCGTTTTGTATTTCGAGTCTCAGTTTGGCTGAGAATTACGTCAGTTTAATGAGCATCTTATTTACGTATTTATTATCGTTTCATTTGCAACGGTTCAGACACAACAGCCAGCTGCGACAACGTGGGCGTGGCAACAAGTGCATACAGGTTCGTGCGAACGCTTTATAATTAGGCATTAACTGATGTCTGCACTTTGTCATCTCATACTCTCACTCAGTTAATCTCTCTCTCTCACTCTCTCGCTCTCTCTCTCGCTCTCTATCTTGTCTCAGCGCTTGGGCTCGTTTTCTTATAACATTTAACAAATGCAGAACTTAAACAGATCTTTGTAGTTGTTGTAGAAGTACGTAAACTTTGAAAGAAAAAGTTTGAAAAACTAAAGAGAGAGAGAGAGAGAGAGAGAGATCGAATGAGAACAAATAATTTAGTGTAAGTGAAATTAATATTGTTATACTTTTATATAAATAATAACAATTTGCGTGCGCAAAGAGAATCATTACCCATCTGCTCTCTCTCTCACTCTCTAAGAGAGATCTCTCTCAGGATCACCAAAATATATGTATGTATGTATGTATGCCAACATATATTATTCTTAATGCATCATCCACAGTTAGCTTTCAGTCCCTCATCAGCTCATCATCATCAGCTATCAAGCTATACTTTAGAAAGGAACCATGATTGTGCGATAGCGAGTGAGTTTATCGGAAATGATCATACGATCATTAGAGAAGATATGAGTCAAGCGAATTGCGGTTGCTATTGCCATGATTCAAATAATTAATGCACACACACATTCACACACACGCATAAGCAGATGTTTTGCTTGGGCTGCACTAATTGACTCTAATGGGCCATGGGAAACTACTTATTGAAGATCGTTTGTGCAATCACAGCTGACACAAACAGCTGATTACAACTACATATACCTTATGGTGTCTGCCACGCCTCCTTCTGCCTGTTGCTTACATTTTAACAAAGCAAATATACCCAGACTTTCCTTTCCGTAGGCTATATAGTACATAAGTTAAGAGCTCCCACACTAGAGTACTAGTGCATAGGGACGCTGAGTTGGGTTCTTGTGAATATAAATAACTTTGTGTTCATTCAAGTAATATATTTTATATAATTCAGTAACAATAGGTCAAAGCTCTCTCTCTCTCTCGTCCGAATAAGAACTGAGCCATATCAGTTCTATTGGTTGGGTTTTCCCCTTGAATGTGTGCCTGGACTCCTCAGCCTTAGATAGTCGATAGTCTTAGTTTTTATATATATTTGGTATATCTTTAAGTTAACTATATATTTGTCAATATTTTGAATAATAAATAAATATCTCTGTCTGTTGGGTATATATCTGTCTATAAGAAGAGCTAGAGACTACAGACTTTTCTGTAAATCGATAATTATTCTCGTTGTAGTCTTATTGAATAAAACTAAGGGTCGAAAATAGGCTATAAAATAGTCTACAATTTTTTCAGCTTTTTTTATGATTTAGATTAATTTTTTTGTTTTATTTATTTATTTTATTTTTTATAAAATGATAATATTATTATAGATAACCTTACGTCCACCCCTTCTAAAATCGCTAAAATCATATTTTAAATATCACATCACTTATCATATTCTAAGGGTTCCTCTGCAGAGGATTTATTCAGGCGCAGTCGCTGCACGCAGAGCGCGTGCTTATGCATGCGTGTGTATGTTGCGTGTGTGTGTTGTTATTGTATTTTTATATATTTATTATTTACTTTATTTTATTTGTTTTTCTGTTTATATATTTTTTTAATATTTATTGTATATTTAATTGTATTATTTTATTTTTGATTTATATATTTTGACATATCTTTTATTTTAATAATTTTTCAAAAAGTTTTATACAAACAATTTAAAGTGCTCAAAAAAAACGAGCTTAATAAAAAAAAAAAAAAAATACCTTACAGCAGAATACATTTGCATAGAAATCTGTTTGGATAGCTATGCATGTATTTGCTTATTTGCTTGAGCCGATGCAGTGCATCTCAGCTCGCTCCTCGCTCCTCTTTGGCTGAGATTACCCCAGGCCTGGCTTGGCCTGGTACCTGTAAACAGCTGACTCCGCACAAGACGACGGGTGGGCAAATAGACGTTAGATTTGAGTGGGCCGAGACTGGGCATGGCGGCGTTTTGGTCGATAGCGTGGCACTATGATGGGGTCGGGCAGTTGGCCGAGCAGCATGAAATCAATTGCCAGACGCCATTTGGCAGCTAGGTGGCATGGGTTGGCATGGGTTGGTTAGTCAGTCAGCCAGGTGGCAGGTGGCAGGTGGTCAGTCAGTCAGGTGATGACGGCTTACCTGCACCCTCGATGGCGAGCAGGAACCACGATAGGGACGCCACAAAACGCATAAAGTAGAAAGCATCGTTAATCAGCCAAGCGGAAAGCCTTGGACAGTAGTGGAATATGAAACGCGTCCACGTCCACTTCGAATGGCCGAGGGCGTGCAGCGCCTGATCGCATATGCTCAGAAATGGCTGCCATATGGAGAGCAGCACGTAATCAACCACAAAGAGCATTACGAACAGCTCAAGCAGCAGCAAGAGCTTCCGCACCACTGACGGCCATCGCTTGAACCGCTGCGGCCGGTACTGGGTCAAGGTCAGCAGCAGGCCGTTGGCAAAGAACAGCGTTGACCAGCTGACCGGCAGCGGCTCGGGCACCTCGTCGGGCAGCTTGTTGGGCTTTAGCACGCGTACTACATGCCACTGGTTCCACTGGAGCAGCAGGTCCAGTGCCAGCACCAGCATCGACTCGTAGAACTCTCGCACCAGCTCCTCGGCTCGCCTCTGTTGGCGGCGCATGCGCAACTGTCTCATGGCACTCGAATGCTCTTGCCGAATTTGGAATCACAATTCTCAGAAAAAAAAGGAAAGCTTCAACTACGCTAGCTACAAACGTTTTGAACCGCTTTTGCCTTTTGTTTTATTTTATTTTTATTTTTATTTTTTGTGTGTGAAATGAACAAAAAAACAAACGACTCGAAATTCAAATACATTTGAGCTCGGCTCTGTATCAGCTTCGACTTATCAAGCCAATCTTGTAACTGACAATCTCAATATGTGTTCAAATTAAGTTGAAAAAACAAAATCAATTTTTCAATTATTCTCGATAAAAAAGTTATCGGACGAGTTATCGAAAAAATATAATAAACTTTTACTGTCTATGGTATACACGAGTCTACATGCAATTCAGCCCTCTGGCTCTTATAACTCCTGAGATCTAGGCGCTCATACGGACGGACGGTCGGACGGACGAACAGACGGACAGGGGTATATCGACTCAGCTCATCGCCCTGATCAAGAACATATACATATACTTTATGGGGTCTGCGATGATTCCTTCTGCCTGTTACATACTTTTCACAAAACCATTATACCCTGACCTCCCATTTTCAATGGGTTCAGGGTATAAAAATGGTGGAAATTTTTCTTTGTTTCCTTTTACATTACAAATGCCTAGAGACGATAAATAAATTTATTTTAATTGTAAATGTAATATTATATTTGAGTTTGAGAAACAAATGTCAAATGCATTTGAAATTTTTGTCAGAGCTCTGTGTTACTTTCAACTTATCAAATCAATGCTAAACCTACATTATTTTCAAACATAATTGATTAGTCTCGAATATAAAAAATAAATAATTAAATAAAACATAGTTTATTTTTTTTTGTTTTAAGGTAAAGGTTTTTAGAAAATCATAATCGAAATTAAACAGAATTCTTTTACATAGAATAAGAAGCACACGGAAACATTTATATACATATATAAAACCCGAAATAAAAGTAATCTAGGTAATAATATTCCATATAATTTTCATTATATTTGCCTTGTAAAATTTACTCAGTAAATTTAATTATTATTTTTTTTTTTAATTAAACGTATCTGGATTATGTCCTTTTCACGTCTCTTCATATTCTTTGATTTTATAAAATTCTTCAGCATGTTTTTCACATATTTCCATAAATAAATATCTCTAAAGCTCGCATCGGGCCTGTTTTTGTCTGCTCGCACGTGCTGATTGAGAGAGCTGACTTGGAACTGGCCACGAAATCAATTTCTCTGTCAAATCAGCAGACTGAACGATACGGGCGGTGTTAGGGGGCCACCCACGTTTGGCTCCACATATGGGAGGGTCCTCCCCCGCCTCGTCGCAAAGCATGAGAAAAAAGAAACCGCCATAATACATTCTCATACGTGAAGGGCAGAAAGGACACCCTAATCCTGCCCCGTTCAGTCAAAAACTTGCCATTCGCTGGCTGCTCTAATAAAAGTAGTAGTTGTTATACCCTGTACTATTGGCACTCAGGCAGGCGTATAGCCCGACGTGATGAAAAGTCACGAAAAATTCAGGTTGGTTTTTCTGACTTTGGAATATAAAGAGAGAGTTTTTAATTGGAATGTAAATGAAATGCGATGGAATTTCGAGAAGAGGATTGCCTAAAATTCCGTTAAATTTCGGTTACAATTTATAGAGATGTGTTTTAAAATCTTTAAATAGGGAGAACTGCTGAAAATTTAAAAGAAGACTTAAAAAAAAAAAATAATAAATGTGAAAAATTGAAAACTTTCTTAATAATTAGTTTAATTGAGACATAACATAATTAACAACACTAAATATTAATATGCTGCTTAATTTATTATTAAATTTTATATATATATATATATATATATATATATATATATATATATATATATATATATATATATATATATATATATATATATATATATATATATATATATATATATATTTTTTTTTTTTTTTTTATTTTATAATTTATTCATTTTTCCATTTCTTCATTTATATTTACCATCAAATCGAACTATACTATACAGCTGAATAGACACAAAGAAGATTTGTATTGCTATGTGTCTGCTGTTGCCGCATACAGGGTATCTGCCAGTCATGCTGCTTTGTTGATTGTTGGCCGATTTATTGTTATTTTTCTTGTTGTTTCGCATTTTCTGCTCGACAAAACGGTAGACCCTAAAGTCACCGGCGTCAAGTAAACAAAGCTGCCACCGACTACAAAAGTGTCTATGGCGACGGCTGCCGTTGAGCCCCGAAAAAAAAGAAGAAAAATGGGACGGTGCACCACACAAAACACGGCTTGAGTCAGAAAGAAACTGAACTATTTAGCTAACTATGCTTAAGAGAACTATACTATATAGAAATAGTTAGAATATCTAGAATAGGAATTCTAAAAAAAAAAAAAAAAAAAAAAAAAAGGTCAACTAAACTAAACAAAAACTATATCATGATAATATTATAACAAAAATGTAATAACTTTTTATATATATATCTCTCTTTTTTTATATTTATTTAATTTTATATATATTTATTTGCGCATAAGCTGCACCTAATGCTCATTTTTAGAGATGACTAAATTTTATTTTCATTTAAGTGTTATATACAAAGTAATTGAATTTAAATAATTGAATAAAAAAAAAATGGAATAGAAAAAAGATGGAATAAAAAAAATTGTATGATATACAAAAATAATAAAATAAATATTGTGTAATATACAAAAATTGTATAATTGCATAGCAATATAAACATTTAAACATTGAGAATATTTAAATTACTTATATAATTATATAAATTAAATATTTTATAATTATATACATTATTTGTAATGATTTTAAATTGAGCTATATACAATTTTATTATTTATTCTCAAAGGCAATTTTTTGTTAATTTTTTTTTTTATTTTTTTTTTTTTAATTTTTTTTTTTTAATTTTTTAGTTTTTATTGAATGAATAAACAATCAAAATTTGTAAATTTTCATATTTATATGGAATTAGAATTTGTATATGTAAAAACTAAATCAGGAGTTGTACTTTTATAATGGTCTGCTCCAATATGTATTTCGAATCAAAATGAATCGATTCAGAGAGAGAGAGAGAGAGAGAGAGAGAGAGAGAGAGAGAGAGAGAGAGAAAGAAAAGAAATGCAATCACGCAAGCTGTTATCAATTGCAAATCGACAGCTTTGTCGCCTGTCAACTGTCAGTTGATGTGCTTAAGTGTGTGCGTGCGAGCTTCTGTGGTTGCTATTGAATCCACCCACTGACAGTGGCGCTGTCAGTGCCTTCATCTTTGGATTGCTGCTGCCGCTGCTGCTGCTGTATTTGGAACTGGTCGTCGTCATATTGTGTTTGGCAAATCGTTTGCGATAAAGCCAACTACATAATGTCTCTGTAGGCCAGGGTGCGACCCGGGGGCCGAGGGGCGGCACATAAAAATGCTAAACCAGCGCTATGCTGGCGTCGCAACGACGCAAACACCCAGCTCATATGACCATATAGTAATGTATGTGGCTCTCCCTTACTCCCCGTCTGTGCGCATGTGTGTGTGTGTGTGAAATGGCAGGAGATGGTTGGACGCAGTATAATGCGCGTTATCCTTGATTGCCTGCTTCGATAGCAGGATATGAGGCGGCTGCAAACAAGCCGCTCAACGTTTCTTATAAACGCACACACTTGGCCAAAAGGTCACATGATTTTCGGAGCAAGCATGTGATGGGTAAGATGGTTTAAAAGATTTATTAATATATATCTATGTACATATTTATCTAGCTATCTACATATTTAACTATTTCCATTTGCTCTATAAAATATCTCTCAGATATCTGAGCAATCATGTGATGTAGAGTAAGATGGGTAGATTAGGATTAAAAGATATATTGATATATACTTATCTAGAGTATCTCAATATATAAATATATATTTTATATTAATAATCCCTAACTATCTATAGTTCCTATAGATATTAATATGATATCTGAGTAAACATGTGACTGAGATGAAGATGGGTAGATGGATATATTAATATACAACTATCTAGAGTACACAAAACTATTATTTTCTACTTTATATCATTAAACCAGATCTATCTATAGTATCTATAGATCTTAGTATAATTCTTTCCATTTACTCTATAAGATATCTGATCGAACATGTGAAGTAGAGAAAGATAGGTAGGTGGATCAAAGGGTATTTACACATACATACATATAGCACTCTAGAGTACCTAAAGATATTATTCAATATTTAATATTATATATGGGTATGATTCTTGGGCTAACTATTGCCATTAGATTTACACGATATCATTTCGATATGGACTCTGGCTTCTATTTATCCTCAAAGTGAGAAACTTAAATGCTCTCAGCTTGTACTAAGATGCTAAGATCAAATAATTCAATTTGATTCTTGGCCTTTAATCTCTTAGAGTATTTAATCTTTGACTTGTCGCAGATAGTCGGCATTCATTGTTTTTTCTTCTTCTTCTGCGTTTCTTTGTGTGGGACTATCGTGATTTTGCTCTTATTTGGTGCGCCTTCTTCTTCTCCTTCTGCTGCTGCCGCTGCTGCTGCTGCTGCTGCTGCTTTTGTTGTTGGCGCTGCTCATTTTCTGTTGGCCTTTGGGTTGTCTGCTTTGCGCTGTTCCTGTGCTCATCATCATTTGGCAAAAGGGCAAGCAAAGAACTCATTGGGTTTTGATTGGTGTAACACACACACGCACACACTTATACACACTCGTACACGACCTACAAGTTAGCCAACTTGGCCAGCTACCATGGCTAATTGATTTCCAACTGCAGACTGTCAATGTTGTTTAGCCAAGTAGCAACTTGTGGACATGGCCAACTAAGCAACTAAACAACAATTTTTAATTGTGCTCCGCTCCAAGTTGCCGTCATCGTCGCCATCACAGCACTGCATGAGTGAGTGTGTGTGTGTGTGTGTGTGTGTGTGTGGGTGTGGCATAGGGGCGGTTCGCTGATGCTGGGGCCAAAGGCAAATGAGCGCTCCGAGAAATATGAACGAGGTCAATGATTGTTTACACTACACTCGAATGCTGTTTACTCGGAGCTATCGCAGCCAACGACGCAAAGAGCTTGAGATTGGTTGAGACGGCGAGACGGCAATTGGGGCGATAGGGCAACGGGCACGGCTCGGTGACGAGGCGACTCTTTGATGGCGTCTGGCGGGGTGGGGTCTGGCTGGCGATGGGCGATGGGCGATGGGCGAGCAAATGCTG